GTGTGATCCTCAGCTCCATGGAGAAAGTCCGAGAATCCAGGTCAGGAGAGGCCATGGTCCCATTGCCTTTTACCCTAATTAATTAGAGTGTACCTGATGTATTAGGTTCAGCTCTAGGCACCACATTTTAGGAAGGGCATTGACAAGCTGCAGCATGCCCAGCAAAGGGCAGACACGATGGCGAGAGGACTGGAGACCAAGCCCTTGAAGGGTCAGTTTGAAGGAACTAGAAACATTTACCCTGGAGAAGAACAGACTTAGGGGGATTCTGATAGAACAGCTTTCCTATATTTGAAGGGCTGTCACAGGGAAAAGCTTGGCCAGTGAAGGCAGAACAGGGAATGGAGGCACATTTTGGGGCTCCATATGAGGGAAAGGTTCCTAACAATTAGAGCTGAGCAAAAGTGGAATGGGCTGCTGTGGGTGGTAGTGAATTCCTTGTCACTGGAGGTCTTCAAGCAAAGGCAGGGTGAGCGGGCCTCTGAGATCTCTTCCAATTCTGAGATTCTATGATTCAAATATCTCTCCTATTGGTTTAATATGTTACTGGATTCCAATATTAGAGCTCCATTCCTTCAGACCTTCAAAATTCCACTTTTAAAATCAAATAATTTGAAAGGGATGATACCTTAAGTCCTGATCAGTCAATAGCTCAGAGGGATTGACAAGAGCAAAAGCTTCCATGAAATGAAATGCATGATAGGGTGGGGAAGGCTGCCTCCCAAATCTTTCCATAGCCTGTGATCCCCTTGCCGTAGAAAGGAACTTTTCATCCTGAAGGGAAGGCTCAGGTTGAGGATTTACAAGGCCCTGAGTGGGGGAGCCTAGGGACTGACTGAGTCATACTAAGAGGTCATTGGCTAATAACTCACTTTTAATAGTGCTTCAAACTTTACAGAGTCCTTGTTATTGTTCAGTCCTTTCAGTCATGTCCAAACTCTCGGTGACCCCATGTGGGATTTTCTAGGCAAAGATACTGGAGTGGTTTGTCATTTCCTTCTCCAGCTCATTTTACAGATGAGGAAAGCGAAGGAAGCAGGGTTAAGTGACTTACCTAGGGTCACATAGCTAGTAAGGCTGGATTTGAGCTCAGGTCTTCCCGACTCCAGGCCCAGTCTCTGTCTACTGCACAACCTAGCTACCCTACAAAATCCTTGCCTTATAGCAACCTTGTTAGACAGGTAGAGTGTGAAAAACAATAGTATTCTCTTTTTTTTTTCCAGATAAAAAAACTGAGACTCAGAGAGGTTGTGATTTTCCCAAGTTAGCACAACTAGTAAGTATTGATTCTGGGATATAAACCCATATTTCCTGAGTCCAAGAGCAATACTCTTTTGAGATAACTGATCCCAAAGCCTCTTCTGAGAGCAGGGCTGGATGCCGGTGGGGAGGGTGGGGAGGAGCGAAGAAGCACAGGCCTTGTGGGCCTGAATGGAGTGAAGAAAATGCCAGAGAGGGAAGGGCAAGAAAGGGAAATGGGGGCAGACAGAAACACAGTTGCCAAGCCCTCCTCTTTTCCCCATTAAGGTCATCACCCTCTGATTCTCAAGCAGGGATCTCAATTCTCCCATCATTGTGCAGCTGGAATCTGGTTTGTCTCCCTGGGCTCTTGGGAGGGTGAACCTTTGAAGTGGGACCCCTGCTGCTGGAGCTTCCCCCTCCCCCATTTCAGTCTTCCCCCCACTCCCCACCCACACATACATCAAACCAGGGCTTTTGTGATTCGCCAGCAAAGCCTGCTGTGACACTCCTCCACCTGGACAGGTGGGCCAGAGAAGTTTCAAACATGACCTTTCCTGGGGACCTTGGCATCCCAGGGGCTCCAGGGGAGAAGCCTTGAGGGTCAGTACCATTTGAGGTACCAGGCAGCTGGTACCTCAGCAGGGGAAGGGAATGTCTTGTGACAAAAAACACCTACCAGGAGTGGGGAACCTGTGGTGTTCTAGGTCCTTGGGTGCGGCCTTTTGATCAAGTCCAAGTTTCACAGAGCAAATTCTTTTATTAAGGCGGCTTGTTCTGTGATGTTTGGATTCGAGGCCCCACCCCCACCCCTAGACTGAAAGGCAAGAGATTTAGGTTCAAGACTTAGCTCTGCCAGTCACTGCCTGTGTTACCTTGAAAGCAAGTAACATTCCCGAGCCTCAGTTGCCAGATCTGTTCAATCAGGATCAAAGTAGCCCGCCTCTGAAGTCTGTCCTGGTTCTAGATCTGTGATTTTAAGTCCCCTCCCCTCTCTGAGCCTTAGTGCCCTGTCAGATGAAGTGACTGGACTGCATGACCTCTCACCTCCTCCCAAGGTCTAATGGGGGGGGCAGGGTGGCTCTCCCTCAGTCCCTGAAAATCACGCAGTTAAGCAGCTAACTGTTCCCCTTACGTGTAAGTCTAGCTACCCTCCTTTCCGCTGCCTCTACTAGAGATGGATGAAGAAGGGAAAGGGAGAGAATACACATTTATGAAGTGACTACTATGTACCAGGTACCGCACTAAGCACATTACAAATATTATCTCAGTCAATCCTCACCACAACCCTGTGAGGTAAGTGCGGGTTATGATTCCCATTTTACAGTTTAGTAAACCAAGGCAGAGGTTAAATGACTTTGCCCAGTCACAGTTGGTACGAGTCTGAGGTGGGATTTGAACTTGTCTTCCTGATTGTAGGCCCACTGCCTCCAAGGGAGAATTTCTCTAAATATTGATTCCAGATCTTTTTTTTTTCTCCAGAGATTAGGATCTTAGATCTAGCCAGGAAGGGACCTTAAAGGTTATTTAGTCCATCCTCCTCCCCTTCACTTTTCCCACAGGGCCATAAAGATATAGAGCCAAATGTGTAAAGAACACAGACTATTTTAACCTACCCCAACACCTGGAGGCTGCAGAGTGAGTGGAGGGAGGCTCCCCTCCCAGCACTTTATATGTAAAACTGTGATTTAGCTAGTCCAACAGGGGTCTTGTCCTAGGGCACCAATATTTGGAGGGTGCTGATTGCTCTGACACTCCTTCAATAATGAGGAAAGAACTAAACTTAATCTCTTATTAGTGAGAACAATTCATTACGATCAGAAGCTAACAGATGGCTGCCCCTGGGTGAGATATTCTTTGTTCAGTCTTCATTCTGCTTCCCCCACCCCCACCCCATCAGTAGCTTTGAGGAACTTTCTCCTGGGGTCTCTATTCCCTTTAGTCGAATTTGTCTTCCAAAGTTGACTTGAGGGCATGCTTTGTGCTGCTTGGCCCTGGCCCCAGAATAGCTTGTTAGAGGTCTCCCTGTTTGGGGGTAGTGTCATGTCCCTAAGTTAACTTGGCTCAGCTGGAAGCATTGCAGAGCCTGGGGATCAGTGCAAAGTAATAAAGAGAGCATTAGAACCCTAATTTTGGTAATTCCTAGCTGGGTGGCTCTCGACAAATCATTTAACCTCTCTGTGCAAAATGGGCATAAAAAATAACTTGTACCACCTCCCTTACAGGTTTGTTTTTTGCAAATCTTAAAATACTAGAAAAATGGGAGCTGGCGTTACTTCGAAATGTCCCTGTTTAATGCCCCAGATTGGTTGTTTTTTTCTGTAAGCAAGTATTTGGGACCATTCTGTCCTCACCTCATAGTTGAATGCTGACCTATTTCTTTTCTTTCTTTAAAAAAAAAGTTTTATTGATGCCTTTGGCTTTTATATCATAACTGTTTGTGAGTAGACCTCCTGCCTCCCACTTCCCACCTCCTGAGGTCAAAGAGAAAACTGTTAAGCAAAACAGACATCAGCAGTGACCACATCTAACATTATGTACAGCATTCCATAGCCTGGGTTCCCCATCTTTTTCACGGAAAGGAGGAATATACATTCCCTCATTTCTTCTCTGGAAGCAAGGCTAGTCATTACGATAACATGGCTTTCTTTTATTGTCCCTTTTGTTTACATTGTTATGATCAATGTGTTATCCTGGTTCTTCATCAGTTGATGCAAATCTTCCCATGCTTCTTGGCATTCCTCACACTCCTTATTCCCTATGATGTAATGTTACAATTTGTTCAGTGACAACAACAATAGCTGACATTTCTATAGTGCTTTAAGGTTTAGAAAGTGCTTTAGAAATAGTATCTTGGGGGCAGTTAGGTGGTGCAGTGAATAGAGCACCGGCCCTGGATTCAGGAGGACACAGAACACTGTGTGATCCTGGGCAAGTCACTTAACCCCATTGCCTAGCCAAAAAAAAAAAAAAAAAAAGGAAATACCTTCTTCTTCTATGTTGAACCATTCCCCAAGTGATGGACACCCACTTTCATTTCAAGTTCATGGGCTCCTACAAAAAGTAGCCCAGCTATTTTGACTCTGAGAAAATCACTGCTCCTCGATTCCAGATGAATACTATTCTCACCGGCACCTGAACCCAGACTTAGTGGAGTGTTTGGATTCCACTCACAAAAACTCCATGAACTGGCCGCTCCTTGTTCTGGGGACACAGTTCCTGCTTGGCTTCCTTGAGGTATCCCAGCCCTCCCAAGTTTTTGTTTCTTGATCACCTTCTCTAACCCCATGGTTTTCTCCACTGCCCAAGCTTCAGAACTCCCTCCCAATCCCCATTTATTACCTGGGGTTTGTCATCTCCCTCCCTGGGTCCCCCAAGCTCTGAGGAAGTATCTGTTCCCTGGCTCAGATCTCCTGGCTCCTTGTCTCCTCTCTGTCCCTGGTACATCTGAGAAGCAGCCTAGTGTAGTGGGTAGTGAAGTAGCCGTGGCGCCAGGAAGGTCTGGAGGCGACGGCTGCCTCCTAATAGCTTGTTTGTACAGAGTTATTTGCATGTCATCTCCCTGCATTGGACTGTGAGCTCCTTGGGAGTCCCGACTCTCTTTGGCGTTTCCTTTCATCCCCTGGGCTTAGCACAGCGCCTGGCACATAGTAGGGCCTTAATATTGACTGACTATCCCTGGCAACTCTCCAAGCCTGTTGTGGCAGAGCAGGTGCTGATCTGCACTGGCAGAGTTTCCTTGGGGGAAGCTCCTTACGCCAATGAACTCACAGGCGTGGATGGAAGACAGTGTTGGCAGGTCTCCACCTCAGTGGGCTCAGCAGCGCGATGCACATTGGCCTCACCGGCTGGGTTGGAAAGAGGGGAGAGCACGAAGCTTACAGGCGGCTCAGCCACCAGCTCACTCAGAGTGAGGTTTGCTTTTTTTCTCTTGGCAGGTTTGAAGGTGCCTGAATTGGCTCTAGACCAGATCTCCGTGGGCACCTGGCTGCCTCAGGGGCCTCACGCTCTCCTCCCCTGGCTCCTCCTGCAGCATGTCCTTCCAAGCCTGGGCCACCTATCCCAGCTTGCCCCCCCGTGACCGCAGGAGTGGCAGCTTTGTCCAAGGCTTGGCCAAGAGCCCTTCGTTCCTGGGGAGGCTTCAGGGTCACCCTAGGGCGAGGTCGATGGAGATGCCCTGGGGCCACTCCAAGGTCTCCCCATCTTCCAGAGACTCTCTTAAGGTAGAGTTGAGGGCTGGGTTTTGAAAAGGGCTTTCCAGAGCCACGCTTAGCAAAGGCTGCCTATAAGCTGCAGTGAGAGGTGGCTTCCTAGGCCAGGAATTATTTTTCCCCACTGGCCTGCCATTCCTCCCACTGGACTCAGCTTTGCCTGCTCTGATCCCTGTGACCTGCCTGAGGGGAATCAGATATTTACTGTCCCCAAAAGAGCCCTAAGCCCTCAGGAAGGGGCAGGAAATTTCAGGACTTCCCAGTTTTGCCACCTCAGGACTGGCCCTGTCCTCCCCATTGGCACCTATAACTAAAATCCCAGGACTGGCTTATAACTAAAATCACAGCTCTGACATTCCCTCTTCCTTTTCCTTTCCCTCTTGTCTACCTTGTTAGCACTTAATCTTCCTTTCCAGGGGACAGAAGTCCTGACTGACCAATTCAGTACCCCAGATGAGTCCCTAGACTGGTCCTAACTTCAGCCCTTATGGGCTCCTCTCCCCAAGGGAATCCTGTGACTGACGCTCAAGAGACTCAGGAGACCTGGGTTTTAACCTCTGATTTGCTATGTGACGATGAGTAAATTACTTACACTCTCTAGCCCCTAGTTTCCTCATCTGTGAAATGGGTATAATAATTCCTTCCTGAATGACTCAGAAGCATATGTGTAAGGATGAATATTAATGATACTTGGCTTTCTTCCCCTCACTCAGGGCCCTCTGAGGGCCACCTCTGCATTGCTGGAGTCTGAGAACTCTTCCTGCCTATGGCACTCCCATAGTCCTAGTCTCCTAGACAGATCACAGTCCCCAGGCCTCTTGAGAGGCATCCATCCGACTGAGGCCAGGTGAGTGTTATCAAATGAGCTATGGCTAGAGGAGGGGGAGGCAAGGAGACCAAATCTAGAAGTACTGCCCCCTACTCCAGGCCATTGGTTCCTCTCCCCATTCACCTCCTTTTTCCTCTCTAGCCCAGCATCTTGTAGCCTCTTTGGCAAAGGCTCAAACCAACTCATCGGACGTCAGGCTTCTCTACCCCACCTTCTGGACTGGACGGACAGTGCGGTCAGCTGCAGGGCCCTGGCCCTCCAGGGCTGGAGCAGATCAGAACAGGACCTTCAGTCATCATCGTTAGAGCGTGTTCAGCAGCGGGCAGAGCTGGTGGGCCGCCTGCAGACAGCCCATTGGACCCTGAAGGAGCAGGCCCAGGAGATCCAAAGGAGGGAGAAGGCTCTGGAGCTCAGTCAATTGAAGTGTGAGCTGCTTGACGTAAGGCAGAAGGTACAATTCCACGATGTATGTCCCCTGTGTGACCCTCAAGGGGAAAGGGGATGGATGGGGTAGGGAACCTCTCCTACCTACCCTTGGCACTCTCATGACCTAGGCCCCTGGCCTGAGCCCAAGCCCCAGGTCCTCTATGAGGTATCCATGCTCCTGAGAGGATGAAGCGAATGCAAACCAAAGAAGTGAGATCCAAGGAAGGGGAGGCAGGAAGAGCTCCCCTCGGGGAGGGCATTTCTGCTGTCATCACCTGAGGCTTCAACATAATCCCTCCTGTTCGCTTCCTAGTTTTCCAAAGCACTTTCTCCTTAATCCTCTCAGATGATCCTTACCATTGTCATGGTAGGTCAACAAGGCAGAAAATCATCTCTTTTTTGTAGATAAGGAAACTGAGGCCCAGAGAGGTGAGGTCATAGTATCATAGGATGCCAGGGACTCTTAGTTCCATCTGGTCCATGGAATTCTTAACATTTTTGTGTCATGGCCCCTTTTTGGCAGTGTGGCCAAGCCTACAGACCCCTTTCTCGGAATCATTTTTTAAAAATAAGCAGAGGGGCAGCTATGTGGTACAGTGGAGAGAGCACCAGTCCTGGAGTCAAGAGCAGCTGAATTCAAATCAGACACTTGACACTTACTAGCTGTGTGACCCTGGACAAGTCACTTAACCCCAAGTGCCTCACCAAAAAATAACAATAATAATAATAATAATTGAAGGAAATGCTCAATTTTAGTTAGAGGTTAGTTAAGATGTCAGGGTTTTATTTTTTTTTCCCCTTTCAGACTCACTGACATCCATGGAGTCCATGCACCACAGTTTAAGAACCCCTGATCTAATCTAATCCCCTATCTACAGATTAAGAAACCGAGTCTCAGAGAGGTTGAATGTCTTGCCCAGAGTAATATAGCTAATAACGTCAGAAGCAGGTCTAGATGCCCAAGATCACACAGAGCCAGTACGAAGTGCAACAGGAGCATGACATGGATTAGAACTCGGATCTTGAGCTTAATCCAGGGCATGCCCCACTGTTGTCTTTGAATGAGAGCCTCAGGACTTCTCTCCATGATTGCTCTGCTGAATTCTCCTGTATCTCACTCATAACCTCCTACTCAGCCAACCACAAAGAGCAGACTCTCTCTGGTCAGCACGTTGCCTGTGCTCATCTTGGTTATAAAGTCTGCCTCCTTCCCAGCTCAGGCTGGTTTTCATTTTGCTTTTTTCTCATCTGGCTTCTTGAAAATGCTGATTTTTCTTCCTTGCCCTGCCCTGCTCCACCTTCCTGCCAGCCAGATGTCTCTTCCTAAGTGGTACTAATGGGTCAGAGTCTTTCCTGGCTAGTGTTCCAGGCTCTGCGTTGAGTTCGGGCCAAAGTGACTCAGAGGTATCTACTCTGCACTAAGCAGCTCCTTGCCTGCCATGGTCTGTCCCCAGATCCAGGAATCTTCCTGAACCAGAGCCTGGATTCTCCTTCTTTTTCCCAGCTCTTCCCCCAATCTGCATTGAGCTTTCCCTGGAATATAGTACATCTCTAGATTATTATTTATATTTTGGGTGATGTGTGATAAGAGAAACATTCACTATTGACCAACTGAAGCGTCCACAGTAGAGAACCTAGACGCCATAGCCCATGAGGAAAAATGGAAGCAAGCAGGATTCTTTATGGGAACCATGAGCACCACAACTGGGGAGGCAATGCATTCAGTCAGGAGAGACTGTCATCTCTGACACTGTCTGTGTGACCCTGCACAAGTCACTGGAACTCTCTGAGCCTCGTTTTGTCTATTTGTACAATGAGGACAATAATACTCATCCTACTTATCTAATAAGATTGTTGGGAGAAACATGGGGAAGCATTTCTCGCAACCCCACTGCTGTATATGTGGTAGCACCTGGAAAATCTTATAGTGCCAGTTACTGTTATTCAAGGATTTGAAACATTGTCATGTAGAAAAGGGATGAGATGTATCCTGTGTAACTCCAACAAGCAGGATCAGTACCAACAGGGGGAAATTACAGTTATTTTAGGTCAATAGAACCGATGATTTCCTAGAAATACAGGCTAACAATAGCTGCCTTGTGAGGGAGGAAGTAAGGTGGGAAGGGCTCTGGAAACTTTGTCATTACACAGACTGCTGAAAGAACTAGACCTCTGTAGGCTAGTAGAATTTCCAAGTTCAGTGAAATCCCCAAGACTTCCTGGTCCGTTCTGTACCTGGCCCCAAATGCCCTTAACAACATCCCTAATAAGAAGTCCTTCAGACCTCCATTTGGAGATCTTCAGTGAATGGGGGTAGGGTGGGGAGGGACCTACCTGAAGTACCTGCCACTTTGGGACATCCTTAATTGTGAGAAATTTTTCCTTCCCCAAATCTTCATCTTGGTATCCTCCGCTGATTATTTCCTGGCCTGCTCTCTGGGGTCAAGCAGAACAAATCTAATGCCTCTTTCACATCCCAGTCCATTAAATACTTGTAGAGCACCATCGTGGCCCTTCTAAAGCTTTTTTTGACCAGGCTAATCATCCTGTTTCCTTCGACCAATCCTCAGATGGCTTTGACCAACTTGTTCTCAATTCCTCTGGGCACTCTCCAATGACATCCTCTAATGCCCTTCCTAAAATGTTGGTGCCATTGTTGAAAAAGAAGACTTGGCAAGGGAAGGGGGGTTGTAGGGGATGAGAGTGGGTAAGCATTTCAGTTTGACTAAATTACTCAATTAACTTCCGAGGAATTGCACTTGAATAAATGAGTAAACAAAGGTGAGCAGATATTCCAAAAGGCTGGAAATGTAGGATGGCAAAACATTATAGAGGCCCTTTGAGGCTACACAGGAGTTTGAATTTTTCTCAATAAGCAATAGGAGAATTGGTTCTAATTCTTCTTCGCAACATGACTAATGTGAAAATGTGTTTAATATGACTGTACATGTATAGCCTATATCAGATTCCATACCATCTCGGGGAGGGGGACGGAAGGGAGGGGGAGAAAATTTAGAACTCAAAATCTCATGGAAGCAAATGTTGAAAACTAAAAATTAATTAATTAAAAATAAGCAATGGGGCATATTGAGGGGTATTGAACAGAGGAGTAGCTTGGCCAAGGCTTTGAGTAAGAAAGATTAGACCAACAGTGGATTGAAGAATGAATTTAAGGGGGAAGACAGTATAGTCAGAAGACTTATTGTGCGTCATAGTAAAGACACAAGATCTGGGTTTGAATTCCATATCAAAGACTTACTAGCTTCCTGATCATAGGTAAGGCATTTAACTTCTCAGAAGCTCCGTTTCCTCATCTGTTAAAAATAGGGGATAATAATATACCACTTGCCTCATTAGGTTGTTGTCAGGAAATTAGTCTGTAAGCCTATGAATGTGAGTCTAGGAATTGGGACAGACAGTGATGGTGACACGTCCTAGGTGGTGGCAGCAGGAATAGAAAGGAGGGATTGGATAAAAGAGATTTTTGAAGAAGTAGAATTAACATGGTTTAGCCATGAGAGGGGGAAGGAAGGGCAGGAGTCACCGAGGAAGCACGGCATTGCCCCTCTACATTCAGCCTGCAGCTCAACTGCCAACTGTTTGTTTGGGGTCAGCTCACAGACCCCCATTTTTTTCCTCTCTGAATCACATCCCACCCAGAACATCCAGGAGTAATCAGGAGACATCATGGTAATATGAAGGAATATCTACTTAAAATAAAATGCAAGATAAAGGATTCAGGATTAAAGTAAGCAGGAGACACTCTTGGCACTCCTATCCCATGACTGTATGCCCCCCACCCCAACCCAAACATCTCCTGGGAGTTCAAATCTTATTCCTACTGACTCCTCCCCACCCCCCTCCACACAGACACCACCCTTATCCACCACTCAAAGAAACAGGACTCAGGCAGTCAGTGATGAGGGGGGAGGGGAGCCAAGGGGTGGGACAGGGTACAGGTCAACGTTGGCAGCAGTCTCTTCCTGGCACACTTCCTATCACAGTCTAGCAGGTGCTAACATCTTTGCCTCTTGCTGCCTAGGGAACACTATCTAGAAGTGTGGGCATTTCTACACTTCCAGCTTCCTATTTCCTTCCTTTGTGCGGCTGTTAGGACAACCTCCCTGTAGGCCCAGCTCTGCCTGGTCCCGCCTACGTTGCACTTTTGTCTAAATGCCCCCACCACATTTTTCTCCCTATGTTTGCCAGCTCTCTCTCCATTCTTTCCCACTGTGCTTTCTTCAGTGTTCTCATTATAATTACCTGTACTGGGATGTCACTGCCCTCTGTGCCCATGCAAGCCCTCAGGGACTTGAAGTCCAGAACCCTCTCAAATGAACTCGTATCTCTGGCCCCCAAAGCATTGTGGAAACATAGCCATCCTGTCTTCTTGAGTTAAGTATGGTACCCTTCCACAAGATTTAGAACCTGGTGCCCGTGACCCTCACAGGAACCGTGAAATCAGAAATAGGATCAGGGTTTAGCAGGAAAGATAAAAAGCTTGTTTGGGTCCATCCTGAATTGTAGATGCCATTGAGACTCCACTGAGGTGGAGAGGTGATAGGATCATAGGGTGATAGAAACAAGCTGAAAAGGACCTTCCAGTCCATTTAATCCCACAATCTCATTTTCTGGATGAGGCATCTGAGCTCTGGAGATATGTCGAGTGACTTTCCTAGGATCCTGAAAATGTGAATCAAGGGCAGGACTAGAGACATAGATTTGGAAAGTGTCCCCAGTGGTAGCTGAAGGCATGGGAGTGAGTGAAATTGCCAAGGAAGGGTGTGGAAAGAGCAGAGAACAGAGCTAAGGAGAGCTAAGTGGGAGAATATCATATTTAAGAGCATGGGAAGAAGATAAGCCAGCAATGGAGGCAGAGAAGGGCTATCTAGGAAGGTCAGAGAAGTCCAAGGAGAGTGTGGTGTCTGTAAAGCAGAAAGATGAGACAGTATGGAAAAAGGAAGTGTCCAATTTGGGTAGAAGATGGGTCTGCAGCTGGGCCTGGAAGGGAATAAGGGAGAAAAG